AGAGGAATTGCAGTCATCAAATTGGACAGGCGGGACCCGAATCAGACCAGACCGGCCCGAACCAGATCAGAACGGACCAGACCAGACGAAACCAGAACAGACTGGATTCAGAACAGAACAGATAAGACAGGCCCGAGAACGGATCAGACCAGACGAAACCAGAACCGACCGGACTCAGAACAGATCGGACAAGACGGGGCTGAGAACAGATAGGACTAGACGAAACCAGATCAGACCGGACTCAAAACAGACAAGATCGGGCTCGGACCAGATCAGACCTGATCAGATCATACTGGGCCCAGATCAGAACAGACCTGGCCTGAAGAGGAATAGAACAGACCAAGGCCGGAACATAACAGACCGGACGGGCCCCCGAACGGACAGACCAGACTGCATGAAGCCATTCCGAACCAGACCAGACCAGGTCAGATGAGACCAAAATAGACCAGGCAGGACCAGACCACCCAAAATCAGGCCAGATCAGACCAGAGACATCAGACAACAGAAGTGCTTTAACAAGAATCGTGGAACAGATGGGACCAACATCGACGACAACCTTTGATCGCGGAGCCCGGCGAAGAAGCCCGCCACGTTCAGTCTCAAGACAAATTGGATCCCGGGACTAGTGTCAGGGGGGTTGCCCTGGGATAGGGTGGTAGCGCGTCTGCGCCGAACTTTATTGACGGAATAAAACAATTTCCTCGTTCAAACTCCAGTTTTGTGAGTGGTCCGGTTCGGGTCTAGGATTCATATATGACACAGTGGTGGATTTTGCAGGTTACAAGAGCCCCGACCAACCCTCCCGCGGGTGACAGATGCGGCTCGAGGTATAGGATTTGGTTGGCGTGCCGACAGACCCCTTCTACCGGTCGACAGTGGCGTCATTGCCGGGGAAGGCTGCCTCTCAGGACTTCGGTCCGCCTGTAACCGCAGAGGCGAGGAAGGCGTTGGTGATAGAGGCGCTCAACTCCATTACTGACATCGGTATTGTTTCTCTTGGAAATTTCTGGGTGTGTTGAGGCGAGAGTGCGGCGGCGACTGGCAGTCCGACCCATCTCGACACCCAGTGAGATATTCTGAGTACTGCAATTTGTGCATTTCTGTTTTTTGCATGAAATTCCTCTGGCATGCTCTTGTGATTGGAGGGAGATTGTCTTCTGATTTCCCTACCCTTTATCAGTCCACCTGATTCAGATCTCTTTGAGTGAAAATTGTAAGCAGGGGAAGAACTAGAGGGAMTGAAGGGGARGGGAGAAGCGCCCCGGATGRCGAGGAGTTGGGGGAAATRGACAGGCTAGTTGATCCGATTGCTAGCGGGAGGTCTGATTAGGACACTACACAGTGTCAAGGGAAAGCGTCCCGGATAAATCCATGTCCGAGGTGGGCCGAGTAGAGACATGGTGCCGGATAGGATTGCACGAGGGAGATACCGTCGTTCCGTGAGCGTGTGACTTCGGTCCGACCCTATGACGCACGAGTTGGYCRGCTCGCGTCAAGGGATTKCTCTCGGGATCRGTARGCCAGCGATGATGGCRACATGGGATCARCCTCTCTTTCGACAKGAGGGTAGGAGGAGATACGRYAGAGGGCGGTTMTCTTCTAGGCMTGTTGACGTCGTYAGGGATATAGGCGGGTCYAGTRGAGGCCTGTCGTGGGGATCTATKAGCTCATCAGTCSKGCTGGGCTACACAACGTCTGAGARAGTAACCTTCCATCTCYTTGTTGATTAGTAAGGTTAATGGAGGKTTGAAAAAGRAGCGCCRGGAAGTTATGGAGAAGGCTTATCTTTCGGAGATGAAGAGTGAGCTTAATATTCCTRAGAGAAASATGGTGGTGGAGARTTCTGATGGAGGAGAAAGGTGGGATAGTGAATTTGAAAGCAGACCTCCACATGTAAAGGCGGCAACCGGAGTWGGAATCTTTGAGRGCRAGAYTTGGCRAAAAGGACGATGTGAGCCACCATGCAGACCAAGTCCATATGCTRTGGCGTGCGGACCRTTGTGCAGTCCTTTGTTTTACCAACCCCCGTATTTCGGTCAGTSTCTATGTTTCACRGGACATCGGGTAACAGAGTTTCTGAATGACTGGGAAGTYTATGCCTTGAGAGCGGAATGGACTGATCAGGAAGYGATAAAGGGATTCATTAATCATAYCGATCTCAAACTAGACAMAGACGTGCGTGCTGCTATWCCCGAGGATTGGAARKRGGCAACKTTCAGARAACGATTGTCTCGAACCTTTGCTTGCGACAATATCTCGTACCCGATCGAGGACTTAAAGGAGATGAAGAAGGAGGAAGRAGAGACGTTAGTGGMGTTTGCGAGACGCTTTGAGACGGCATCTGAACCATTGATAGAAAATGGGTTTCTCRGTGAGATAGAACGATGCGGTATATTCATGGGGACTCTACCTATCAAAAGAAGAGAGTTTGTTATGGAGAACATGCCCACTAAAGGGGTGTCGTTCGCACAGACAAAGRCATTGGCTTTGCAGACYGGGGGATTGGATGYCAAASCTCATCTACTTRRGGTGTTGGAGAAACTAGGGAAAGGAGAACCCCGAAGTCATTTAGAAAAACAATTCGGTGATGAGGATGRAAGAGAGTTCATGCCGCMTGRAAAAGGTAAAGTAAGTARAGATARAGGGGAATGRAAAGGAAGAAACCGCGGCAACTGGAAGAAGGAATACGATAGGGGATTTYGAGATAGGCGATGGAGWAGTAGAGAAGAAGAGAAAGAGYGAAGGAGATCATATAGGGAAGGATGRRAAACGGTCGAGGAGATTGAAGCCCTAACGGCTGAACGAGAGAGGGTGAAGAGAATGAAGARTGTCTSACCTCAGAGGAGCGCGGAATCGTTGAAGATTCTCTYACAACAAGGACCTCAGGGCAGACTGGGAAAACCATTGAGCTGAATGAGTGGAGAACGATCRAATGTGCAAATGACAARAAATATATATCATGCGGACCTTCTACGAAGATGAATACTGACGTTAAAACAGGAACAACCCAGGAGGTGATTCAGGAAATTCAGGGAGAAATCTGGGTGCCGAGTAACAGGTTTGAGGAAAACCGGAATACAAGTGAGAATGAGAAGGAAGATATACGCTGTCGAACTTCCACGGAGAGGGGTATTAGCAATGTCGAGAGGACAGCGGAAGAGCCAGAGCAGGGAGAGTTATGGGTATCTAGTGTCCGGTTTGAGGAGGACCCGGACCCGATTGATAGTATGACGGTTGGGGTTTCGAGTATTCGGTTTGAGAGTTGCGAGGAGGATTCTGATGCAGCTCCGGTGTGTGCTGAGATAATGAGTGAGGAATCAGAAGAAAATGGAGCCGATAATGCTAACCTTGATATTAAAGTCTCGTCGAGGGGCGAAGGGCCGAAGGTTATTTAGGAAACGTGGGTAGATCGAACCACGACACAGGAAGAGATACCAATGATTGAAGAATGCAGAGGCTTGAAAAAAACTGGCGATACTCAAAACAAGGGGGCAGAGGATTCAGACACAAGCTATGAGCTTGCCCCAACGTTTAAGTCTGTAGAGCCGGATATCAGCTATGGGCTGGCTCAACTTTCTCAGACCATCGAGCCAGATGTTAGCTATGAGTTGGCTCAACTGTTTGAGACCCCCGATCTAGACATGGGTTGTGACCTTGCCCAACCATTTAAGTCAATTGACCCGGATGTCGGCTACAAGCTGGCTCATCCTTTTGAGACTGTCGAGTCGGACGTCAGCTATGAGATGGTGCAACTATTTGGGACCATCGAACATGATGACAACTATGACTTGGCTCAACTCTTTGAGGCCTCCGAACCAGATATGGACTATGGGCTCCAATTGTTTGAGACCGTCGATACGTATGAAAACGATGTTGAAAGCTCTCTTAAAACAACAATAAGTCGTGATCTGGCAACTACGAAAGATATCGAGGGCTCCGGAATGGATCAATGCAAGTTAATAAGTAAGTGCGATGTGATGAGTATTGGGGGTGAATTCGTTGAGGACTGTTTGGGGGGTCAGCAAAGTGATAACCCACTCGCGTTTGACCAAGAAGTTGAAAAAAAGACTGTGATGGAAGTGAAAATTATTGCGGATGCCGACGGTCCGGAAAACATGTCGATGAGAATTATGAAAATGTCAGGGCTTGAAGAGAGATTGGAAACGGAGAAACCCGCTGTGGATGTGAAGAGGTACGAGGACAAGGACTTGGTCAGGGCTGAAAATTGGGTAGCAGGTTCGGGAATTGGGATCGATATGCGAGAATGGAATGCAGACTTGGGTCTTTTTCCCCTCTTGCTGTTCACCCTTGTCTCTATGTGTGCTCGTGCATGCTGTAGCAGGTGCAACTGCTCTAGCTTCACGCAATTAATTTACGACGTTTTCATAACCGGTTGCCCCTTTGTCTTCGGACTCTTTGGTCGTGTGAAGGAGGGACTACACTCCTTGGTGGGGATATGGATCCGTCTGAGCCTATCGTGCGGAGCTTTTCCTACAAAGCCCACGAAGCCTTTCTATACTCCCTTGATGCTCTCATATAGTGGAAGGAGACGAGATGAGAGAAGGACGAAGGCGCTTGAGAACGGGGGTGGTGGACCTGATATTGAAAGGGGGAGGCGGTCTACCATTTATTACATTGATAAGGTCGACCAGAAAGCGTAGAAGCGGAGGTAGACACTACTTCCACAAGTGGCGAGACAAAACCAAAGTCCGTTGGAGCCTGGCAATGCGCGAGTGGTTGAGAGAACAAGCCAGGGATAAAAAGCGGAAAGCAAAAAGAAACGATGGTGGAAAGAGAGGTAGGAAGAGCGAAAAGAAGAAAGAAAATGTTAAGAGGGATATGTCTCTTGGGGTTGATCGGATATAGATTAGGTGTCAGCCGATTAAATTTTTCCTTCTCGATAATCCGACGATACAACAAGATCGTTCGTCGGGGACGCCGAGAATAGAGGGGGGGGCTGCTGTCGGGCAGCTCCAGCCCTACGCCGCCCTTTACTTCCTTTACAAGGGCGTGCAACGAGGTTCCCATTTGTTGGTTTTTATCTGGCAGGGGCTCACCGACCATGGGAAAATGCCGCGACAGGTTGACGGAACGAGTGGCCGGGCTACGACTTTCAGTTCGAGCAGGGCTCGAGCATTGAACAGCGGTATCTTTGCGAAGAGAGCCTAAGACGTAAGCTACCGACCAACGCAGAGAGGCTACCACAGCGGACAACTGCCGAGGGGTCGGACAAGGAGGCGCGGCCGCGAAAGGTCGGAACGATACTAAAGGTCGACGGAATAGTCGAGGGAACAGGGGCGCCGAGCGTTTATCGTGAGGCAACGGACGTTTTAAGCGGCGGCGGTGTCCGAAGTTGCCYCGAGTAACCGAATTCTCAAGAACACCCTGCGTGAACAAGCGGTGGGATCGGGCCTACGTGGGGGCCTCGACACTAAGAGGAGAAGGGTGCGGGCATAGGGCTCGGAAATGGGCCTCCCGGCCTAGAGTTTTTGGCGGGCCTGCGTGACYTTCACAAGGGGGGCTGGTACCACTTATGAGTGGGGACCACCAAGGCCAAGATAGGCCCGGGGCAGGTTTGGAAATAGGTCCGGTACCGGGGCGCTGCAAAAGGCCCGGTTCCCGACAAAAAGGCTCTCCTCGACTCGGATCGGCCGACGGCGGGTGAGAGTTGGCTGTTGGGAGCTGGTACCGTGGGACCAGCAAACTTTATAAGCCCAAGAGGGCTCATTCTCGGGGGACTCTCACTTGCGCACGCGCTGGCACACGAAGTGTGCTGGCTCAGAAATGCCCGAGAGGGCACCAGCGGAGGGGGCTAGCAGAGGAAGGCACGGGTGTCGCAGAGGTACGTGCCTGTGAACAGGTACATGGTGCACGGAGGGGCACGAACAAGTACAAGGGAGCGGGGTACTCAGGGGATACACGCACAAATACGAAAGCTTCGATCAAGCGCACGGGGATCGAGGTTGTGAGGGATACGAGGGACTTACCTCGTGCTTGATACCACGGTCACGGGCGAGATCTGTTCGTACTTTAGGAGGTTGCTGACGTCACGTGCGACCTAGTAGATAGGCTAGATAGGATCTGCTAACTGTACTCTAGGCGCCGAGCGCTGAGTAGGGGAACGACATTCGTTCGTTGGTGATGAAGACAAGACTATCCCCACATTGTCAGTTGTGAGCCTTGTTGTGC